TCAAGAGTAGGAATCTAGATCTAGAATCTAGATCTAAAATCTAGTCATTTTCTAGTGACGTCTGAACTCTGAAGGATACAATTAGTACAAGGATAGGTCTAAGTCTACTCATACTGATATTAATAAGAGTAGGCCCTATGGGTATAATTTTAAAATACACAATGGAGAGACCAACTTACCAAAACAAATCATCGTAGAATCTATTTGTATTTGGTACAGTTACACAGGACACAGTAAATAAACTGTGTGTGTCCAACAGTGTGTTGTAGTTATTATAAAAAACATTTCCGGAGTTTCTAAAAATAAACATCTTTCCATTGGTCGATGGGGGAAAAACATGTCAAAATGAAATCGAAATAATAAAATAAAATATATCTAGATCTAGTTGTGGAACTAGATCTAGATCTACATTCTACTAAAATTTAAAAAGTCGTTTTTAAAATAAAAAAAATTAAATATACTATCTTGTTGCTTTTAAAATTCACTACAATGGTAAATTAAGTATTTATTTTATTTTACACTAAATTTAATGCCACCATCTCAAAGTTGAGAAATTTTTTAAGGGGATTCCCCTATTTTGTACGAAGCTTGTCTGTATTATTATTATGGCCAATTTATAATTTAATCTTCTATATATATAATTCTCTTCTTCGAGCCGTTAGAAAACAAGCTGCAAACGCTCTCCCTACCTCCCCACCCCTACATGGTTTTAGTGAGCTGTGTTCACTCTAAATGTTTACAAGCAGAGCCAACGATTTTAAACGTAGGGGGGGGGAGGAGGGGGGGAGGGAAGGGGGGGTTATGGTCCTTAACGAGCTACTTATAGTGTTTTAAAGAAATATTTTCAGTGTCAGCGTTGGTACTGTCGAATTCACAAATTATGAATTATTGAAAATTAGAAACAACTAAATAGCGGCGTATGTTATGCCGCGGGCCGGCTCGTATTCTCTAATTCAAATATTAAGCCGTGTGAATAAAGCATGTGTGATATATATTGTTGCTTTTAAAAAAAAAATAAAGTGGGTAGGCCTACAAATTCTTAATTATTTGTATTATCTTCGAAATATCGTCGAATATTGTAAGTTCAGTGCTATAAAAATATAATCCATCTTAGGTAGGTGTTTTAGTGTTTTTAAATTATGGTCTCACGTGTGATTTTTTTGGGGGCGACCAGAAAGGTGCGCAACGGAAAAAACGCAACGGGAAAACAGCGCAAAAAATGCGCAAACAGCAAAATGCGGACACATAAATAAGCGCAAACAGAAATTTGCGCACACAGAAAAATGCGCAAACAGAAAATTGCGCACACAGAAAAATGCGCCCCGGGCGCCGACCCTAAGGTAGTGGGGAATGAGGGCGACAAACGGTGCAGAAAAAAATAAAGCTCATTTTGAGCTGCATGTTACTGAATTACTTTACATAGTTCAAAGTTCAAATAATAGACTGCTATTCGCTTGGCTTTAGGGACTTGATTAACTGATTTCTAAATTAAACACTAACATTGACAGTGACTGGTAAAAAGACCCCCGACTTTTCCAACGGTGGAGAGCAAAAATTGTTAGCCTACATGTATAATAGACTAACATATTTTTTTTTAAATATATGATATCACCCCTATCTCGGATAGTGTCACCCTTGTGCATATAATGAGATGTCGGTTATACAGACTAACTACAATATGTTATTTAACTAACTGAAAAAAAAACAAGTCTTTCTCGTTAACATTGGCCATAGTTTGCTTTGATGCGTGTCAATCGGTCCGCAACCCTACCCCCATTATCACACACATACACACACACACACCTTTGACTTTACTAGATAGGACACAGCGGCACATCCAATTGTCATGTAGGTGTGGGGGCGTCTTCTCCGTGACATTTTTTTCTCTTTCTCCGTGGGTTCCAATCCAACGCCTGCCTAGTTCTGTCTTTTTGAGAATATTCCGCATACCATCCTCACTTCCTTTCTACTAATAAATTGTCTTTTAATTGTTTTAAATAAATCTTGTGCGGGTTATATAGGTAGAAAACTAATCTACATAATAATATACCCGAGCAGACGAATGAATTAGTTATCTCAAAATAACATTTGTATAGATTGGGCCTACTTAAAAATAAGTATGTCCTGTCCATCTCGCCTTTACATTCGTATGTCTTCATTCTATTGAACAACAAAATCAAGATGGATGTCATCTAAGTTCCCTAACGTAAATAGCGTGTGTGGGGGGGGGGGGGTGGTGTCTCGGGTGCCGACCCTATAAGGGCGCCGATAGAAGTATATATAAAAAAGAATTATTAAAAAACGCATTTTAAGTTGAGCTGTATTATTGAATTGCAAACTGATTTTTTAAAAATGTCTTCATCAATTGTGAATGGCAAAATAAATATAGTTAAATTAAGGACCACTGACCGGTAATAAGCGCTTTCCAGCTTTTAATTTCCAAAATTTGGCTGTTTTACCAAAATGGTAAAAACCAAGAATAATGTAACAATAATTTCAATTTATAACCTCCCATAGCTATAGGCCTTTACACAATACAAACATATGTTAACAATTTTATAGCAGTAAACAATATATGTGTATATTATTAATGCGTAGTATATGATGGACATTTAATTTGGCAAAATTTAGGCTACTGATCTAATCGACAAGAAAGCTACTAGGCCTAGATCTATATAACCTAATCAAAACTGGTCTTCTATTATAAAATTATGTATTATTTGCAAATAAACATTATTTGCATGACTATAAATGAAAATCCTGTTACATTCCTTTTATATTCTGAAAGATGCTTAAAAATAAAATAAATTTCGGCAAAACGTCCACGTTGGTATTTTGCTAATTTACAGTGTTTAAAAATGGTTTCTTTTTTATGTGCTGAAGGATTAATTATAAAACTCGGACAGGCACTAAAGATAAAGATCGCTTCCAGAGTTTCTTCCAGGCATCTCTTCGAAAAGAAATGTATATAATTTATAGAAAGTCTACCCCCCCCCCGAAAATTTCAAGTGCCCCCCCCCCCCCCCCCCCGCAGAAAAAAGTCTGGAAGAAACACTGATCGCTTCTGATCAAAAGGTGAGGCAGGATCGGTATATAAACATATATATATATATATATATATATATATATATATATATATATATATATATATATATATGTGTGTGTGTGTGTGCGGCGTCAAAACAGCCAATGACAAAACGGCCCCGTCAAAGCGACCCCGACAAATCGGCCCCGTCAAATCAACCCCGCCATATCGACCCCGACAAAAGGGTCAGCGACATATGGACCCCGTCATATAGTCTCCCGACAAATAGGCTCCAGTCATTTATTAGGCTCCCGACATATAGGCTCCTGTCATTTAGTTTCTCGACAAAACGGCCCCCGTCATTACGACTCCCAGCAAATAGGCTCCCGCCATTTAGTTTCGACACAAAGCGGCCCCCGTCATTACGACTCCCGACAAATAGGCTCCCGTCATTTTGGCTCACGACTAAAGGACCACTGACAATACGGTTTCTGTAGAGACTAAGTCTCCCGGCAAAACGGTCTCCCAGTGGGACCCCTTCATCAATATTCTTTAGAGTTAGCTTATTCAACACCTAAGTAATACAACGTATGCATCTCTTGTTCGCCAGGCCTTATTTTTATAATAATTTATCTATTATAAGAAATACTCTTTGCCTTCCATAAATATGTCGGTTATAGGCTGTTCCAACTCAGTGTGTGTGGAGAAGGGTCGACGATGGACATTCCTACCTGCAGTATGTTGGTAGGTTATCAAAACAAAATGCCGTTATCCTATAAACATCATGTATATCATACATTGACACTTGTGTGTTCGTTTTTAAGCAACGGATCTTTACTGTTGTAAATTAAACATTATCAAAACTTTAGAATTGGTGGAATTTAGCTGTTAAGGGCTCAATTTGTTTGTGCATTGATGTTGGTTCATGAAAAAAAAAATTCATTCAGGCAATTAAAAGAGGTTATAGTGGTAGTGTAGGTAGGACAAAATGGTTACTTTTATGCCAATAGTGGTCATGCCATTCATATGTCTGGAGCCAATATGTCGGGAGCCCAATTGCCGGGAGCCAATATGTCGGGAGCCCATTTGTCGTGAGCCCATTTGTCGAGAGCACATTTGTCGGGGAGCCCTTATGTCGGGAGCCATTATTTCGGGAGCCGCTTTGTCGGGAGCCAATATGTCCTGAGCCTATCTGTTGGGAGCCAATATGTCGGGAGTCCATTTGTCGGGAGCCGATATGTCGCGAGTCAATATGACGGGAGCCCATTTGACGGGGTTATTTTGACTGGGTCGTTTTGTCGGGGGTCGATTTGACGGGGTCATATTAACGGGGCCGATTTGACAGGGCACCACACACACATATATATATATATATATATATATATATATATATATATATATATATATATATATATATATATATATATATATATATAATGGGGGTTCCTTGTTTATCGCATATTCATATAGACAGTTTTTAGATCGTAAATAGAGTATGATACATAACCATGTGGACCTCTAACACATTTGGGTTTGTTTTTTTTTGAACCGAAACCACATTATGTTAAAACTGTAAACTGTGATTTTGATATGATCATATTATGCAAAAAACTTTTTAAAGCGTTTACTAGATGGATGCATAAAAATCAGTTTTACAAAAGAAAGCATAGTTTTTTTTAAATCTTGAGGCTTACGTATTTTGTAGCCTACTTTACTAACTTTAGACTGTAGATTTATTTAGTTAGCCTAAATTAATATGATTTAACCAGAGGCACAGTTTTGAGGAATGTGCTACCTTAAACTTTTACACGGCATTAAACATAATTTTATACGAGCATCAATACAAAAATATTGACCAATCTATACTAATTTCATTGACATACTCCGACAACCTCACGATTTTTCTTCTAGGCTACTTTGATGTTTTTGGTGGAAGTCGGTATTTAAGGAATAGCGTCCATTTCTTCCTTTTCGGTGTTTAGAGTTTTCTTTTTCATATAAACACGTGCAATTCTGGCACAACACTAAACCTACCGAAGAGAGAATTTCAGCTGTGACCATTTATTAGTTTGAAAATGTCACCTCCAGGTAAAAATTAACATCAGAATGTGTATAGTATTAAATATTTTTAAAAATTGTACTAGAATTATTGCAATATTGAATATGTAGTCTAATTTTAATCTAGCATTGCTGCAAGTCCAATGCCCCGGCCCCGAGAACAACAAGCGTGCTGAGGAGACTGCTTCGTCTCTAAAGCGCTTGTAGCTGCTAGTTTATGTGTAGCATATTGTGAATGATAGCTTTGAATTGTTTGAACTCTATCAATTCATATTAATAAAGATGTAGAATCTAGATCAAGATATGCCATGCAATGAGATTCTAGATTTGGGGGAATTTTTAAACTAGTGTCCCATCATAGAATCTTCTCAAAAAAGGGGTGTAAGGTTGCTGGTAGGGTTGCCAGGTGTCCAGTTTTGAATTGGACAGTCCAGTATTTGAGCAGACTGTCCAGGATAAATTAAATATAAATACTCAAATACTGGACAAGTATTAGGGTAAAGGAGGGCGTTAAGAGCCACACTTTTTAGCACCTGTACATTTTTAAAGATTTCTACTAATCTAGGTTGTAGCATTCAAAATTGATTTTTGAGTATTTAATCTTAAAATCATATGAGTTAGTTACAGGAAGGATTAAGAATTCCATTGGTACCAAATTTATATTTCTATCTTCAACAGGAGAGGAGAAATAATTTTTTTTCTGTTTAAAATGTGTGGTCTTATATAATCTCTGTAAAAAATGAAACTAGTGGGAAACAAAAATGAAAATTTTATAAAATATGTTACTTTAAATGGGTTTAATTGAACATTTATTGTCATACCCCCAAAATCAGCATTTGGGGTGAAAGGAGCCGGGCAATGGGGCAATAAGTATTATCTACTAGTTTAGACTAACTCCGCAATAAAAATAATTAATTTCTAACCCCAAAATAGTTAACTGATACTAGCTATCACTAGGCCCCAATGGGCCCAGTCTACAATTGATACAATTGCAGGTGTACATAGGGCCTAAGACATAAAGTCTAGTAGTTTACAGTAGGCACATTAGTATGCCTAGTGTGTAACTAGTATACTAGTGTGTAGCTGTCCAGAGTTAACATTCTTGTATGTAAAAAGGGGTGGTACTAACTAATCTGCCTTAATGCTTTCCCCTGATAAGCCATGTGTGCTATACATTGCATAACATGACATGGAGGTGAGAAAGGTTGAGGGGAGAGCAGTTGTACTGGTTTCCCCTTTGTTCTCCTTGCTGGACCCTGAGGGCCATAAATTACATAAGAAGATGCTATCTCTGGTTGGCTGAGATCTAAGAACTAAGTCCATGCTACCTACAAAGAGATAAGTTTTATTGTGGGTTAGATACAGGTGGGGGCTGGGTATCATGGGGGTGAGAAATTGTGAGGGGAGAGCAGTGGTACTGGTTTCCCCTTTGTTCTGCTTGCTGGACCCTGAGGGCCATAAATTACATAAGGAGATGCTATCTCTGGTTGGCTGGGATCTAAGAACTTAGTCCATGTTACCTACAAAGAGATGAAGTTTTATGGTGGGTTAGATACAGGTGGGGTCTGGCTTTCATGGAGGTGAGAATATGTGAGGGGAGAGCAGTGGTACTGATTCCTCTTTGGTCCCCACCCTGCTAGACCATGAAGGTCATATATTACATAACATGCCACCCCAGATTGTCTGAGATCTGTAACTGTAATCCATGTTACCTACAAAGAGATGAAGTTTTATAGTGGGCCAGAAACTGGTGGGGGCTTGGTATCATGGGGGTAAGAAATTGTAAGGGGGGAGCAGTGGTATTAATGTGTCTGTTTACTTCCCTGCTAGACCATGAGGGTCATAAATTACATAACATACCACCCCAGATTGGCTGAGACCTAAGAGCATTTATTCCTGTTACCTACAAAGAAATTAGAAGTTTTATGGTTGGTTAGAAACAGGTGGGGGCTGAGTCGGCCTTATTGCCCCTTAGGGGTAATAAGTACGTGAACCGTTTTAAAAATTACCTTGCTAACATCAGATGGCTGAATTTTTACTTTTTAGCAGGTTATAATTGTATTTCTATCATTTAGACACAAGTCTGTTTAACAATTAATACATTTTGTGTTAACTATTCCTATACCAGTGTCATATTCAGTGGTCTAATAAATGAGAAACTTGCACTTAGGGTTTCAAGAGCCACATAACAGTATCTGTTATAACTTTTCTAAACAGGCAAGCTAGTGGACAAAATTAATGTATTCATGTAGATTTAGTTATTATCTAACAAATAAAACCATTATGGTAATGATCAGTCAAGTTTTACTCTGATAATGATAAAAACTTTATAGCATGGTAAAATGGGACAAATGTCGGCCATTTTGTTTTGGCACCAATAATCACTGTGCAAAAAAAATTCACCAAAATAAAACTATTCTAGCCATAGCTATAAAAATAGTGTTAAAATGTACAACAACCAATGCTCTAATACAAGAACAAAGAATGGGCTTGAAAAACTCATTTGGTTTATTACAAAGTAAAGTTTCCCAAGTTATGTCTATTTGGAAAAAAAGTTCACAAAATGGTTTTATGGAGATGAGAAATTTTAGGGAAAGAGCAGTGGGATTAAATCCTGTCTCATCCTCTCCCTATTGGACCAAGTGGGTCATAAATTACATAAAATGAATCCTCTGCTTCTCTGTTATCAAAGAACAGCAGTGGTTGTTACCTCAGAAGTAGATTAGCAGTGTTATTGGGGGTTTTGTGGGGGTGGGGTGTTGATTGGGGCTTAATACCACACTGCTCTTAACGCCCTCCTTTACCCTATACTTTGTCCAGTATTTATATTTCTTCTTCTGCTTTGCGGCATACCTGAGAAGGGAAGGATGGAAAGATGTCCAGTATTTTCGGAAAAGGTATCTGGCAACCCTAGTTAGTTGCTGGTAGTTAACTAAATTTAAAATTAACACATGGCTGTCTGTCAATGCTAACCCTGTCCCTAACCCAAGCCATAGTCTGGTAAAAACACGATATAGCGTCAGAAATTATCTGGTAATGTTTGTTGAGTTTCGGTAACATTTGTTACTGTAAACCATAGTTTATTTGACCGTTGAAATAAAAATAGAGTCAAGTGCATTTCATGGTTTAACCTAATTTAATGTTTAGGGCTAATTGACAAAATATTAGCAACAATTAGAGAAGTTTACTTAAGCCCGGACACTACTTCGGTTAGGACACTTCGTTGGTTTTTGGCTCATAGAAACTTTAATAAGCATGTCTCATGCGAAACCACGGCTTCTGCACGTAAACTGTTCATTTATGAACACTTCCGTGTCAAGTACTTCTGTTTTCTCTCTCAAGAGTTATTTTTAGAAATTTTTTAACGTTGCATGGTCTGCACATTTCTATTTTTACACCAGCCGGATGAAGTAACCTAGGGTTGGTTGAGGGGCAAAACTTGAACCAATCAATGCTTAGCTAAAAGGTTACACTATAAATAGCTTCTATGTATGTATGGAACATCGTAAATGTCAAGGTTAATGGGTTTTTTTTGTGCTTGAACAATAAAAAAGGGTGTTTGCTAACTTTTTTGGTCTTACATTGGAGCGGACAGCAACACAAAAATTTTATTAAATAAGAATTTAGAGCGTAAAAGGTAGGCCGGTTCGTTGCTTAGATGGCTGGATTGACCTCTGACCCTGAAACGTCATGCATCGTTTTCTGACTGTTTTTATGTTTATTTTAGGGGTCCTATCCACGACAAATGAAAAAACTGTTAATCTCGCAAATTCTTATCATTATTTTAACACAAGATGCTATTAAAATGGATAATAGGCCTTAGAATGCCAGAAAAAAATCGCGAGAATTGTGGTTGTAAATAATGAGAGGATTTCTAGTGGAGCACTCTCCGTATAAACTGAACCGCGGCCAAAATAGACCGTATAACGGGGGAAACGGCCAGTATAACAGTAGATTAATATATGATTGAGATATTTACCATGTATATTTACAGTATTATTGATTCTCTTTATAAAAAATCCAATTACCCCGTAAGTAACCATGCGACAATTTCTCTCTGCTATTTTTAGTAACGTTGCGTCATTGTTACGTTAGTTGCCAGACAGAAACAAATAGTTTTTTTTTTTGCGGAATGAACAGTTAAGTCTAGTATTTTAATTATAATTCAATTGTAGCATATGCGGAAAAAGTAAAATTATGGACATTATTATTGTATTAGTAATTTTATTTGTATATTGATTTTTTTCTTCTCTGTGGGCAGACAGTAGCTGCATTGAATTTAATTCGTGACCGGTAGTTAACCTCGTCAACGCTGCATGGCCTATTTGTTTATATAATTAGTGATGCTCGTTCAGTGGCCTTTTTCAGAGCTAGGCCTAATTACTGGCGATTTTTAGACTTAATTGATCGGCCGTTAGCCTTTTTCATTGCTGCGTATTTTAAAAAATGCTCGTTCAGCAGCCTTTTTTTTTGGCGCTAAATAATCTGTTTACAGGCATTTTAAGCATTTATTTATTTTTTTAAGCTAGACGTAGATCTAGTTAAAAAAAATTTTTTTTTATATACAGCTGGCTGTCTAGCATGCCTGATATGTGAACTTAAAAAAAATGACAGAACTTTTTAAAAAAAAATGACGGGAAGTAGGTCTGTTTTTCAATTTGCTTGAAGAAGTGGGGGGGGGGAGAGAAGTGAAGACACCCACCATCTCATGTACGCGTGTTTGTTCTATGACGTGTACTATAGGCCTGCTGAACTCACGGTGACCCCGCGACCGTGGTGGGATTTTTCATCCACAGAATAGTAAACGTAAGCAAGCAATTAGGCGAGTGATCTAGTTTTATTATCAACTAGTTGCTTTTTGTTATTTTCCGGTGAGTAAATTACCTAAGCTGACGCAATTACCATGGGGGGAATTAAAAGCTCGTGTACACAAGTCCACGACGTCATGTTACGCCGGTCGAGGGGCAAGAACGCAATATTGTCTGTCATTTTCCATTCTACGACAATTTTCAAATTCTCTCTTTTCTCGTCAACCGAGTAAGCTAGATATTTAAATGTGGTGTCAAATGTTCTCTTAAGGGGTAAAGAAGTTAATGGTGCATTTGAAATAGCAAATTATTTTATTTTATAAAATCCATAATTCAACCTAGTAAAAGGGGCTGGTTATTGAAGGGAAAGGGTTAAATTATGTGACATGGCTGGCTTAGCAGCGAACTGCGTGAGCCACAATGGCTGAATGGGAAGAACTTTGGGAGTGTGGGAAGGTTTTATACTATTAAAATTACCTGACAATCTATAACACAATATACATGCATATAATATATGTTTTTATTCATTACATTGACTTTAAATTATTCAAAATGAACAAAATGTGCTATGTTTAATGACGGGTAAAGGTGTCTGAACACATGTAAAATTTTGGGAACAGGGCAAAAAATGTTCGCGCACATGTAAGGCCGCCAAAGTCACTATAACAAGAATAGCTAAAGTTCTATGTGTATGAATACAAAATGACACACACATTATTAAAGTAGAATGGTTGCGGAGTGATAGACTTTTTTTCGTTTTCTATGTTAAGTGGTTATTGAATGAGACTGCATGGAAGTTGGAAGTTCCGATTTTTTTCGCTATGTGTGTCCGCAAACCGTAAATTACTCCAGTAACTCTAAATATTATTAATAAAGTCGAGTGTAGTAGCCTAATTAATGTTTTTTTAAGAAACAGAAAAAAACTAGCAGAAGATCTGCGACAACTAGATCTAGCTCTAGTTCTGTTAGTAAAATAAGACTATTAGATTTACAAAAGTCAAAAGTAGAAAGAAGTAGAACAATGTTTAGTAGCAGCAATAATTAGCACATACACTTAAAATAATTAGAAATACAAAATAATTAGCAAAACAATAGGCCTATTTAAAATGCAACTAAAATCAATCCTTGCATATTTTTAAACATTAGGCCTATGTATTAAAAATAATATAGCGGCAAATAAATGATTGTTTACAGTATTTCCGTTGGTAACCGACGCTATGTCATGATTTTACCCATGGTCCTACCATGTGCCTAACTTAGTCAAGATTACAATACTACTAACAACCCAACACATTTGTGTCAAAATAATGAGTCATTTTTATTTTTTCAGGATTTACACCAAGAGGTCGCGGCCGAGGAGGCTTTGGGGATAGAGGAGGATTTGGAGACCGAGGTGGAAGAGGGGGTGGCCGTGGAGGTTTTGGGGGCCGCGGCGGAGGCCGTGGCGGGTTTGGTGACAGGGGTGGACGTGGAGGATTTGGAGATAGAGGTCGTGGTGGACGTGGAGGTTTGTACTTTGCTTCTTTTAAACTTGGTCTAATATTTTAAAGCGATAGCTTCTGCCTAATGTATAGTTTTAGTCTTATAGTTGGCTGTTACTGTTGTTTTTTTTTTTTTTTTTAGGTCGAGGTGGTGGTGGACGTGGAGGTAAGTGCTTAAATTTAGTTAATTAATAAAGTAGCTACAAACTAATATGCTTAAATATTTTGTTTAGTTTTGTATTCTTCTTTTATGCTAAAAAGTTTACTTCGTACTGTAAAGGTCGTGGTGGTATGAGAGGAGGCTCAAAAGTAGCTGTGGAACCACACAGGTATGAAGGTAAGTGGTCCTTGCATTTGTCGCTTTGCATTTTTGAATAGATTTTTACCACTTTTGAGAGTTTGATTTTTTTTTTGACATTTCATTCTAAAAATGCTAAGCCTTTGGTTATTTTTATTGCAGGAGTTTTCATTGGCAGAGGTGGCAAGGAAGATGTTCTGCTCACAAAAAACTTTGCAGTTGGTGAATCTGTTTATGGTGAAAAGAGGATATCTGTTGAGGTAAGCTTGTTGTTATTAACTTGTTAGTTCACTGAAGGCTGGCTATTTATAGTTTCTTCATGCAGTTCTATCCTGATCTGTCATGGCTTTTTTTATTCAAGCAAACCTACTAGGTGTTCCTCTAAATTGCAAAATTTTGTGACACATTGTCATTCCATTTAAATCTGTTTGTTCCCTTAACTCATTTGCTACGAATGCGACATACACCCCCGCTACCAATGCTACTTGACACAATCAGCATTACTTCCTTTTATCTATTACAAGATTTTTTTCCCAAACATCCTAAAGTTTCGAGCATTTTTTTGTTATTTTGTACTAAGTTTACTGAGTGACAAATTTTTACACTGTTTTTCCCTTAAACTATTTCTTTGGCATTATCTTAGTTTTCAATTTGTTTTAAAGATAGTTATTTAGATTCTCTATATTTTTAGATATTTAAGCTATAATAATTAGCAATCAGACTTTGCTTGAAAAATGTTAATTTTTAAATTTTAGAAATAATACTACTGAGACCTTCTGCAGCGTACTGGGAATACATAGTTGCATCACTAAATTCGCTCTGTACCATAAATAATGATTAGAGAAACATTATACATAATATATTATCTGCAAAATAATACTCTTTATTTAATAAGTGTATTTTGTGCCTTTAAAAAAAATAAAAACATAGACTTATTTTAAAACAAACTCAAAGAAAAGTAGTTGGAAGTAATCTCCCTTAGCTTAGAGACTGGGGAGAGTTTTGAGATAGGCTTTAGTAGCGATTGCGCAAAATTTTAATAATCAATCTTTTTTTTCTTTTGAGCGTAAGTTTCTGATTAAGTGATTACTTGTTGCTATGAACAAAAATGGAAAAAGCTTTCTGTGACAACCTAATGTATCCTGGGCAGAGTAGGGAAATGTGTGTGCAGTTTTAGAAATGTTCTGATAAATTTTCATATATGAAACTGAAATTAGCATCAAGTTTTTGGGATTTGTAATAATACAGTAAATGAAATATGGAGTAACAATACTAAATGTTCAACCCATTATGTGTACTAGACCCAACTAAAAAATGTAATTAAATAAACCGCGAGTGATCCCCTAAACTTTCTCAAATATTCTTATATTGGGGGGATGGCAACTCTGAATATAGACATGATTTTTAATCCACTTTTAATTACTTAACCTAAACTTTTTAAAATAGAACAGAATTTTATAGAAAAAAGAATTGCGCACGAAGTGAACGCTAAATAATATGTGTATAATAGTGCGGACTATTAGTACTTTATAAATTAACATGCATTCTTTAGAAATTGGAAATAGCGTAAATTAGTACTTCCGGTCAACAGAGATTATTTATTTCATACTCATTCTATGCAAGTTCCTACCTTTGGTTGCTAGAGGCAGGCAATTCTGTTAATCTAGTTAAGTGTATTGTTTAGAAGTTAAATATTTTACACCACTTTTTTCATTAGCATCTAACTTTTTTTGTCACATCAGGAGGGTGAAACAAAGATTGAATACAGAGCTTGGAATCCCTTCAGATCTAAGTTAGCAGCTGCCATTGTCGGAGGTGTGGGAGACATTCACATAAAGCCAGGAGCTAAAGTTTTGTATTTGGGTGCAGCCTCAGGGACCACAGTCAGTCACGTTTCAGATATTGTTGGTGCAGTAAGTATATTTCATCAATCAGATATTGTTTAATGGCTTTGTGGTGGGACTTTCATATGTATAGCCTGTACTTAAGCAGTGGTTTAGAGAATGTGGCCAGTTGAATATTCAATCTGCTGCATACTTTTAAACCAGGGGTAATTTGTGTGCTTCATAGATGTAACTTTACCACTTTTTTTCATGGAAATGCACTTAGTAAAATAGGAAATCTTTCCGCTTATTAGAACTTTTTCCAAGATATCAGTTTTTCCTAAACTACTTGAGTGTGTTTACTCGAATTATCTCCCATGCAAGCAGACAAGCAATAGTCAACACTGCTTTAGGAATTTTTTGCTGGTGCACAGAAGAATGCTATTGATTTTGTCTGTGTTAAATTGCAGAGAGTATATGTGCTAGGATTTAAAACTTATTTATTGAATGCGTGATTGCATATGGTTCACTTCTTAGGCTGTTTTTAGTCCTATGTGTGGCTCATTTTTTTAACAAGCTGGCATTTTAAATACAGATGCTGTTTACCTGACATGAGTGTTCATGTTTTTTCTTGTTGACAAGATTTTTCTTTTTTTTTTTTGCTATCAGGAAGGTTTGGTTTACGCTGTTGAGTTCTCACATAGGAGTGGTAGAGATCTGTTAAATGTTGCCAAAAAGAGGACAAATATTATTCCAATTATTGAAGATGCCAGACACCCACACAAGTACAGAATGTTAGTTGGTGAGTACAGATTTCCTTAACGTTTGCATTTTGCTTTAGAAGCAGCCTGAAGTAAAACAAAATAATCTTAATTTTAATAATTTTAATAAAAAATCTTTATCTTATTTGTAACTGAAAAAATCTGTGATTTCAAAGGACTTAATGAATTTTAAAATGTAAAAAATTGATTTGTTTTCAGGTATGGTAGATGTTATATTTGCTGATGTTGCCCAGCCAGATCAAGCAAGAATTGTTGCTGTAAACGCCCACAGTTTTCTTAAAAATGGTGGTCACATTGTTATTTCCATAAAAGTGAGTTTAATTTTCATATATTTTTTAAACAGTTCATTAACCTTGCTTTTTGTTGATGAGATGGTTGGGGGGGGGGGGGGGGGGGGGGATATGATTATCTTTTGAAAAAGATATTCAGTGGGTATTTTGCTTATTTATTGGCTGTTTATTTTTTAAATCACATTGATTGGTATGAATGGAAGCATTGATCTGTCAACTTTTGCCAGGCAAACTGCATTGATTCAACAGCTGAGCCAGCAGCCGTCTTTGCTGGGGAGGTAGAAAAACTGAAGCAGGAGAAGATTAAACCCATTGAACAGTTGACACTAGAGCCATATGAGAGGGATCACGCTGTTGTTGTTGGCAGATACAGGTCAGTGCTGGTTTATTCTGATAACTTCAGTTGACTGAGGGGGAAACTATTGATGATTGGTTTTTTATTTTTTTAAAGTAACTTAGTTTTGCAGTTTTATTTCAACATTATTTGTAAAATATTTCGTACTGGCGAATGAAAAGTTATTGCAAATTATATAGTTTGTTATTTTACCACCATTTCACTGTTTTGAAAAAGAATTGTACCAAGTCTTTACCTGGTGTGTCCTGTGTGATGTCTTACTGTATTTATCTTTTATTCACAGACCCCCACCTAAGAAATAAAGCCCAGCACAAAGACATACACCATTATTTTATCGCCAGCTGTGCTAACTACCACCAGTTCTGTTGTTCAGAGAGAAATAGAAAGTTGTTTATTCTTGAAGGATGTTATCCAAGTGCCTCTTAGCTTGAGGACTGACAGACTCGCCAGTATGAAAAACTAACTCACATAAACCCAAGTTGTTTCAAGCACTAGATTTAGTTTTCATGAATAAATGATCTGGTCTGTTTTACATTCTAATGTTTTCAAGGACTGTGTAATTGAAGATTAATTAATGGAATCCTAATCTTTTGTTTCATGTCTGAGAAACTAAAATTTTTACTTACACTGCTGTAAATTCACAATTTTTTAAAACTTATTTCGTAGTTTAATTTTAACATTTGAATGGCCATTTTATTGTAAAGACTGTTTACTTTTAGAAGAATTGATTGTCAGTAAGCAGCTGGGGTTGTTAGCATTTATACATTCTGTACATGTTATTTGGACATGTATGTTGGACTTCTTGTATATATCATTGCATCTTTTTATGTCTGAATACAGAACAGATGATTAAAATATGTTTTAGACATGTTCTCTGGATTTACCTTATTTTTTGGTAGATTGGCCTCTTTAGATTTATTTTCAAGTCATAACAAATGCTCTTCTATTTGAAAAGTAATGACTTGGCTTAAATGGTTGATTTGAGAAGGGATAAAACAATCATTTTAGTAGTACTTATCAATAATTTGTTGGCTGATTCAAGAGTGAATATCTTTAAAAACCAAATGGAGTCGACTTAAAGATATACTGTTAGGATGTTGTACTGGAGGTGTCAGTATACTTGACTATCCAGGGTTGTTTTAGTACTTGAACCAATAGAAGTCTTGCATATGAGGTCCATTGTTTCTTCAGGGAAACTGCAGATGTACTTTTGATATCCTGCCTTTTTCTGTTTGACCAGTCTCAAAAGGGAGAGGAACCAAGAGAAAAAAAAACCAGGTACACCCTTTCAGGTTCCATAAATCCACATTCATTATGTGGCCTTCTACGATTCTGGCAAGTAGTCCTGAGTACCAGACGTGGTTTGTCGTCTGGATAGGCATTGTATAAAATAGGTTTAAGGGGGGAAAAACCTGCTCTTTAATAAAAAGATACTAATATAGAAAGGTAGGAAGACTGCTATGGATATTAGCTGTTTGAAAGGGGAAAAGGGTATGACTTGTGTTTCATTTATCCTCAATCACTTCACTGAATTAGAAAAAGTACACTTTAACTTTAAAATAAAAATAAAAAAGAATATACAATAAGACATTTGACAGTCACTGTCTGGTTTAAAAATAATACTAATCAATCAAGAAAAAGGGGTTAAGCGTGTAATCAATGATATGCCATAAGAGTGTTATCAAGGATAGGTAATTAAAACAACTTACAGTTTTTAAAGCCGGCATATCTATTAAAAATACAAGTTTAGTAAGACAATGTATTATTGTGAGGACTAATTTTTATCTTAATATAACTTTTTTTAAAAACAACACAGAGAAATCAACTTTTTCATTTGAATTAATGTTTCAACATAAGAGAAATGGTTGCTTTAAGTAAGGGAAATAACTGCTTTATTTCTTACTTTAAACGTTATGGCCCTTCTGTGTTTTGACTGCGTAACCAAATTATTTATTATTATTCTAGCCCTTGCCCTATCTTTATCCCACACTTTAAGACAGGGTATTTGCATTTCAATAGTCTTAATGTATAGGAACTAAAAATAGTGTGTAGAACATAATTGTGACTCCATGTAGAGTAAAAGGAGTTTGGTCGAGTTCAGTGTTTCTTCCAGACTTTTCTCGGGGGGGGGGGGGGGGGGGGGGGGGGGTACTTGAAATCTCCGGTGGGGGGGGGGGGGGGGCGGACACTGTTAAATGTATATATTTTCTATATAAATTCAATTTCGTTCGAGGGGGGGGGGGGGGGAGAGATGCCTGGAAGAAACTCTGGCCGAGTTCGTAGTTTGTTGACGACAAACTTTTAAATATTTATTTTATTTTAGTAAACCGATAGATCAGATTAGACGCCAGACAGAGTTGTAGTAGCCAGAAGTTACCCCCGCCCCCCCCCCCCCCCAATTAGGCCCCTGTTCAGATCATCGGGGCACTATCAACCACCACCCCCCCCCCCCCCCATCACCCTCTCTCAGACACATTGAGTTTAGTATAACTTACATATCCAAAATAAAATAAAAACAGATTCATATTCACAGTAAATAGTAAATTAACATGAATTTATTTGACTGGTATCCATACAATTATCAAATCTAAAGTGTTATGAACGTGCATTAAAAATGGTAAAAATGAATAAAACAAACATCAATTAATTTTTTTATACTCATTCAACATGCAAACTATGAACTCTGAATGTGTGTAGCATACTGACAAGATAATGATATATACTGTAATATCAGTGCCTGTTCGAGCAGTTTTTTTAGAGTTAGGTTTAGGGTGTTTCATGACGTGGTCGACTGCTAACCCGAAAGTTTCGAGTTCGGATCCAGGGTTTGAGTACCCAAAGCTCTGATGTGTACCTGAATGTTAAGGGAAAGGTACACGCGGCTGGTCACAAAAACATGTGAACTCTACTTCATCTGCCCTATTGACCGTCACGTGGGTTAAGGGCAGCCAGTGTTTGTGACTTTTTTCTCGGGGGTGGGATGGGGGCGGACACTGGTAAAATTATATTATATATGATATATATATCATTTGTATTATATATATATATATATATATATATATATATATATATATATATATATATATATATATATATATATATATATATGATATATATATCTATATATCTATAAATATCTATATCTATATATATATATATATAATACAAATGATATTTTTTCGGGAAGATTGGGGGGGGGGGGGCACCGCTCCCCCCCCCCCCCCCCCCCCCCTGGAGAAATGCATGACCAATTGAACGATGATTGTCTACTCAAAGAACCAACAATTATTATCTTACATTGGTGGAGGGAGCTTTCTGTGGCGAGCCCATGTGTCTGGGGCACGAATTGGAACATACGATGATCAGTGTTTTAAGATGGAACATATTTTTTAAAACTAACACTGGTTTATTATTTTTTAGAATAATAATACAGGGGTCGTCTATAAATGACGTCACATTCGTAGGGGGGTCCGTAATTTTGTGACGGTGTGTGATGAGGGGAGGGGTGGGGAGGGGGTTCTGATAGTGTGACGTCACACTTTTGCATCATAAAAAAGCAATGTTAGAAAACGAATTTTAGCCATTATTTTGCGTTTTAGAAAACTGTTTTAATAAACTGTAAAAGGAATTAATTAAAATACTCAATGTTGACAGAGTTCAGACAAGATTTTTGGAAAAATATCGTATTTTAAGAAAAATTCAACTGCAATTTTGACGGGGGTCGAAGGCTGATGTGTGACGTCATTTTAGGGGGGGGGGTCTGGCTTTTTGTGACGATTTGCGACGGAGGGGAGGGAGGGGGGAGGTAAAATCATTAAAAAAGCGTGATGTCATTTATGGATGACCCCTTTATAGCAACGAAGCTACAAAGCATTTAGAGATCACACTAAAGACTATCCAAAACATTTAGTAATCATTTCATATTTGTTTATATTCAGAGGGCTTACTTTCTTCCACTTTAAATCCAATGTTTTTTTTTTAATTTGGTAAAATGTGCAAAGCATGTAGGCCCTACATTATATTTCCAGTTGTGTTTTTACACTCTACATCACTTTTTGCTAATTTAATTCAAATAAAACTTCAGGGATTATAATACCATATTCCGTGCTCCGCACACGATTATATTATTCACATCTTCTCATTTCCACCCTTTCAACTTTATATAATTTGCGTAATGAAAACGTAGGATGGTTGAAATATAAATATTCAACTAACTCTGTATTCACCAAGTTTAGAATCCAACCAGGCATATCCAAATTTCAAAAAGCTGACGGTAGATGCATGACTGAACTGGCCGGGTACGTTCTATGTGTGCAGGGTTTAAAAAAAAGAAAATGAAAGCATTTTTTTATCTATTCCACGTCTTGTCACGACCTTAAGCGCAGCGAGTTATGATGGGAATGATTGTTATATAAAGGGATATAATTCACGACATTCAAAGGGGAATAATTTAACTGTGCTTGCGATTGAAGTTATGTAAAAACAGCTTACAAAGGAGTTATAAAAAGTGGAATGTACAAAGCATATTTATCATTATATATAACGTTATATTTTAAAACAGGTTGACGAATAATGTCTTTGATATTGAAGTTTAATTACAACACTTCGCGTTGAACACGAATCAACGAGTCCATTAAACTCTTCACATTCTAGATGTGTTGATTGTAGTCTTATTTAAAAGCTGACACACCCGGGTTAGATATTTCCATAAATTTGCATATCGTAGTTCCTAATAATCAAGTCAGACAACAGCTTGTTGTTGCTGCGTCTGGTCTTGTAGACGTCCGTTCTTTTGTTTTTTCTGGGTTTGGGGAGCTCGGGGCTCGCTTGGGGCGAAGTAGCCTCCCCTTTATCCCGAGCCTGACGCAGATCCGATGAGCTGGGAGGTATGGAGTAGACCTCCTGGTCATATCTCGCGTCGTTCATCAGCGCACCGGAAGTCGAGGTGGAATCGGAAGCGCCGACGTCATCGCTTTTTGGGAATTTTTGCTTGGGGTCGTGGATGGATTTGGGGGACGGGGCGAGTTTGGTGGCGTACGTCTCCCAGTCGGCGACCTCCACGACGTCAATATCCGACAGGTCGGAGCTCAGGTAGTAGAACGTCCGCTCCTCCCTACCGCAGCTCCGGCTCCGCTCCGACCGGCTCTTGCTTCTTTTTTTATACGTTTTTCGGCTCACCTTTTTATGCCTGGCGTGACTACTCGTTTTCTTTTTCGTCAAGGACGAGGACGATGAAGAAGATAACGAGGGCGTGGGTGAGGCTGTTTTATTTGTTTCGGTACTAACACGACCGGAAACAAACGATTTAGATTTGCTTCCCTTTAACTCGTGCAACAGTTTACAATCGCTCGCTTTCAGTTTATCCTCGCTGTGACTTCGGCGAGGTTTAACAACTTTTTCTTTGTCTCCTTTCGACCTGCCGGCAGACGTCTGCGATTTTGACGTCGCCAAGAGCAGGTCCGACGCGTCTGGGGACGTCAAGGCCGCGTCAAGGTTACGTGACTTAACGCCGCTTCGCCCCGACGGCGCGCCCCCTCGCGCTAGATTCGGGGAGCTCTCGTTCGCCGTGTAAACGTTGGTGTGGTTCGCTAACATCTCCGCTTGATCGGGTGTTAACTTACCAGCAACGCATGCTGTAACAACCTCGTTAGATCGAACAGACGAATCCTCAACAATATTTCTCATACTCTCATACGTCACACCCCTATCAACATTTTCACTGTATTTACTTTTTTCAGCCCGATTCTTCACAGCCGTCGTTTTGCCCATTTCACCGAATTTGTGACTAGTATTAGAAGCACTTCCTTCGTTCAATGGCCGAGATTCGAATATCTTTGCCATGCGCTCAACCACTTTCGAACGTTTTGTTCTA